TGTGGACCAGGCTGACCTCCAACTCACAGAGATCCGCCTGCCTCTGCCTCCCAAGTGCTGGGATTAAAGGTGTGTGCCACCACCACTGCTGCTGCCACCACCGCCACCTGCCTGACTATGCTCTGTCTTACCTCTCCCCTCCGGCCATGGAGTCTCCATGAATGTCTGTGATTCAGGGTTAGCTGTTGCCGCTTTATTTCTCTTGGGAATTTTGTCACAGTAACAAACAGCTGACTAATACACCACTGAGTACCATACTCATACAATGCACATTGCAGGACCCATGGACAAAGCATCACCCAGCCCGAAGAGCCAGTCCTGTTGAGTTGAGAAGTCACTGTGAAATCCACAGGATCAAATGATGCTGTCAGATTGCATCCTGTCATCACCAGGTTTCGGGAGATCTCATGGGAGAGAGCCCCAGCATGAGGTTGCTCATAAATGTCTGTATGTCTAGCGTCCAGTCTTTCAGGATAAAGCCCACTGTATCTGCTTTGATTTTGATCAAATCAGATAAAATCAGTAGCAGAGGAGAGCCACCTGCTTCTGTCTTCCTAGGTTGCCACCTCCTGTTTCACACTTTTCATCAACAATGGATCTTCCAGGAGAGAGGAAGGGGGTGATGTTCTAAAGTCAGCTCCAAATTCTGGTATGATTCTGTCATTCATTAGCAGCCAAACCTACTAACCTGGTTTTTTAAAATGAATGACTTTATGGGCTGGCCATGTAGCTCAGTTGGAAGAGTCCCTACCTAGCATGCACAAAGCCCTTGTCTCGTTCACAACCAGGCATACAGGTGATCCTGGCATCTGGGAGTTGCAAACAGGAAGATCAGATCAAGTAATCTTGTATCTCAAAATTGGGGCCAGTTGTTGGGGGTGGGGATGGAGGGGTGTTGCACACACTTTAATCCCTACATTGGTAGGCAGATCTATGAGTTCGAGGCCAGCCTGATCTACAGAGTGAGTTCCAGGACAGCCAGGGCTACACAGAGAAACCCTGCCTCAATAAATAAATAAATAAAGTAACTAAATAAATAAATAGTAAATAAAAACAAAGTCAGGGCCAGTGACATGGTTCAGTGGGTAAAGGTGTTTTTCCTAAAAGCCTGATGACCTGCATCCAATCTCTGGAATTCACAAAGATGGGAGGGGAGGTTCATGTGTGTATACACATGATAAACATACATAATAATAATAATGAATTAAATTAATTATTTTAAAGATGGGCTGTTGAGATGGCGCAAAGCCTGACAAGTGAGTTCAAACCCCACAGCCCACATAGAAGAAGGAAAGAATGGACTTCCCAAGCTGCCTCCAACCTCCACACGTGTGGCATGAGTGCGTATACACACGTGTCCAAAACACAAAGAAATAATTTTATCAGAAAAAAAGGAGAAACTCAACATCATTGTCAGCTACATAATTAAGTTCAAGGCCTGCCTGGGACATGAGACCCTGTCAATGAATGAATGAATAATAAAAGCAGTGAGTTTACAACTATATGCAAAAACCTTTCATTGTGGCCACATAAAATTCTTGTTATTTTATTGTATGTGTATGGGTGTTTTGCCTGCATGTATATTTGTGTATCACATGTGTGCCTGGTACCCTTGGAGGCCAGAGAGGGCCTAGGATCCCCTGGAACTAGTATTATAGAGGGTTGTGAGCTGCCCTGTGGGTGTGAGGAATTGAACACAGGCCCTCTGGAAAAGCACCCCATGCTCTTAACTGCTGAACCATCTCTCTAGCCCCAGACACATGATTTTAAGTAAAGGAGCTCTCATGCACACAAACTCCATTGTCCTGTAATGAGTTGGCTCTGCAGTCTGGGTTCAAGGCTGCTGGTGCTTACAGCCTAGGAAATGCTCAAGGACCACAAAGGCCAGGAAATCACTTCTCAAAGAGGCATTTCTGTCTCATTCCAGGCCCCAATGTATCACATTGCTTTCCCATCATTCCTGTTCCAACTGAAAAAGATTTGAATTCAAATAACTCGGAAGTTATTTGGATTCCATTCAAATGTAAGCCGTCTCATCTCTTTAGTCATTATGCCCATTATTTCTGACGTAAAGACTAATACGGGATGGTAAAAGATTTTGTGGAATGTTTTCATTGAAGATGTTTCTTCTGTGTATGGCTAGACACTGACACTTCCTGTCCATGAGACAGAGAGGCTCATCCAGTGACAACCAAACCACTTCCAAAAGGAAGGTTATAGATCCCATAATACAGGTGGAGGCCTTTGGTCTGAACATTTGTTAAGGTCCCACCTTGGGCTGGGGAAGTTGTGCATGCTAGGCCAGTGCTCTGCCTACTCCATGAGTGCCATCCCCAGCCCTGACTATATGTGCTCATGGCCTCCTAAATCCTTCTCAACCCTGTACCGGTGGAGAAGAAGATACTCTAATGCTCTAGGGTAGGAAATCTCAAAGTGCAGGAGGTCTCACTTGCAGGAGATTTGGACAAGGCCTGGAGGCTTTTTGTGGATGTTGCAACTGAGGGACAAGGCGACTCTAATCACAGAGATACTGATCATATCACCTTCACAGAGTAGCCTGCCACCAGGTGAACTGGCTACTAGCCCTAAGGTCAGCAGCTCAGGGCTGAACAGCCTTGCCCTAAGATGTCTAGAGCATACAAAGAACTTCCCAGTGAAGCTTCTTTGGAGGAAGCATTGTCCCCAGAAAAGCTGAGAAAATAGTGGCTCAACCACTACCCCCTGATTGCCAGGCTTTCTCCTTCTGTGCAGCTGATTGAGAGGTGGCAGCCATTGCTCCCCTGAGTATGTGGGACTCACTATTGACATCTCCAGTACCTGGGAGTTGGTTCGAAATAGAGTCCCAGGCTCCACCCAAGACCTGCTAAATCCGAAACTGAATTTGAACATGAGCCCTACAGGATCCATGCACACATTCCACACACGTGTGAGAAAGTGCTGGTCTCATCTGACAGGAAACAGAAGTTTTAAATGACAATTTTGATAAATGCTAACATGGCATCCAGTCCCATGGGTCAGGGAAGGCTTTCATGAAAAATCAGCCTGAAAAACTGAGTTCTTGGTGAATCACAGAAAGTAGCCAGAAAATTCCTCCAGAGGGAACAGAATAAACAAAGGCTCAGAGGCAGGCTGGGGTGGGGGTGGAGGGTGATAGCCCAATTGGGAAACTGCTTGCTGGGCAAGTATAAGGACCAGAGTTCAATACCCAGGACCCATGTAAGAAGTCAAGAATGGTGGGCACCTTTGTAATCACAGTGCTCAGGAGGTGAAGTCAAGCAGATTCCTGAGACTTGCTGGCTGGACAGTCTGGCCTTCTAGGTGAGTTCAAGGCCAGTGAGAGGCCTGGTCTCAAAAATCAAGCTAGATGACACCTGAGGAATGACAGGCGAAGTGTACACAAAGAGAGACAGAGAGACAGAGACACACAGAGGCACATACATAGAGACACACAAAGATACACCCACACACAGACACACACAGAGATACACATACATAGTACAGAGAGACATAGATAGACACAAACACATAGAGATACATACACAGATACACACAGAACACACACATGCACATACGGAGAGGAACATATACAGCTGCATAGAGAGACACATATACAGATACACACATAAATACACACACAGATATCCCCTCGTTCTCTGTCTCTGTCTCTATATCTCTATCTCTCTGTCTCTCTCTGTGTCTCTGTCTCTCTCTGTCTCTCTGTCTCTGTCTCTGTCTCTCTCTCTCAGTCTCTCTCTCTCTCTCTCTCTCTCTCTCTCTCTCTCACACACACACACACACACACACACACACACACACACAAAACCAAACCAAACCAAACCAAACAAAAAAATACAGACCCAGGCTCAAGTTTGGGGCAGGAGAAAACTTGCCCAATTGGAGAAGTTTTGCGCTTAGAGTAAGAAATAGCTGGAGGTGAGAATGACCAGAAGGTCCCTTTGGGACAGCACTCTGGTGCCAGCTGGAATGTTACAGTTGGAGTTGAGCCTTATGCCCCCATCTGAGGTAAGCAGGTAGGGAGGCCACCAGACAAGGCAAGGTGGCATCCCTTAGCAATTTAAAGCCATGATCCAAACAGGTCAGGAGCTGGTCCGATGGGATCACACTCCCAGGAATGATAATTGTTCCAGGTGGCCCTAGGAGCCATGCCACAAGGGACAGTCCGTAACTCCACCGCACCCCTTTAACTTCCGGGACACAGAGTCATTTATGTCAATATATTTTTGTAAAAATTTTGTAGTTTGTGGCACGTCCTGGCAACGTTAAGACTCAATTACAAAGAGCCAGAGTGGAACTGTAAACCTAAAGTTGGAAAAGCTGTTAGATTCTGGCAACAGATCCGCTCCAACTTCACTGTTCCTGGCCTCAAAACACTGACAACAAAAATCCATTTTTAATGAGTTTTTTTTTTTTTTAAACCAGAGACTTCACACCCTGTTTTTGGTCCCCTTTGGGCTAGCAGACTCCAGTCTTCCTTACAAGCAAGAACTGACCCTAAACTGATTACCAGGGCACAGAGGCTCCTGCCGGCTGCCTGGTCAGAGCAGCTCAAACAGCTGGTGACTGGGCATTGAGTCACTTTGTTCTCGTTCTCCTTCAGCACGTGGCTGGCCTGCAGAGCCAAGCAGGGATGCAGGAGAAGTCATTTTTATCATACAGGCAGTGACTGCCTGGCTGTCTGTGTCTCTGTCTCCCGAACAGATTACTAATCTCACAGACCGTCTATTATCCACTCGGCAACTGGCAAACATGAACTTGGCCCTCATCGAGGCAGAATGCTGAGATCCAAGTTAGAAGAAGTGGGAGAAAGAGAGAAAATGCAGAGACGAGCCAGACAATTTCCCAACCTGTAAAAACATGTTGTATTTACCAGGTCTGGTACAGAAGCCAAACTTGGGGCTCGGTGTTTGTCTTGAGCCCCGGGCCTGGGTTATGTCTGATGCTCCCAGAACACTGCCCCCCACCTCCCACCCCTCACTCACATCTGATGATTGGCGTATTGTTTAGAGACGAAGAGGGACGATCTTGCGCTCCAGAGGAAGCTGGCAAGAAAGTTCAATTCTATAAAAAGAAACGCGCGGTCAGGGTTCGGTTTCCTATTCTGACTCAAGGCAAAGAAGAGATTCAGAAATTCCAACCCAGAGGGTGAGGATGGGCTGCAGGGCCTGTTCCCTCAGCTCCTGCCACCTCCCTGTTCCTGCAACTGGCCAGCTGGGATTACACAACTCACACTAATTTTATTCCACAGGCAGCTGTTTCTCATTAGGAGCCAGGATCTTATGTTTTCCCTCCTGGTGCCATGTCACCCCTATGGACCCAGGTGAGTAATTCTACTTCAGAACAGGAAGATTCTGTTCACACTCCTGGCTGCATTCACATGTGTTTGACTCTTTGTCCAGGCATAGACCTCCACATTTGGTTCCTGGTGCCAATGTCCAACTTTCTTTATTGAATTCCTAACATCACCAGGCTCATGGGTTCTATTCCACCAGGGAGGAGAGAAAAGAGTCAACCGTACAATGTTTTTGGCTACCCAGTACCTGACAACTGCTTCAGGAGGGTTCTGTCAACCCCCCCCCCTTTAAAATTATTTATTTTTTTATTTTTAAAGCCGAATTCACCAGATGTTCTGAGAGAGTTTAAAGCCTGGCTTTCCTGTCTTCCACATGCGTTAAGTTGGATCCAAATCACAGCACGTCCTCCTCAGTGGTTCTGGAGAAGGACATGAAGGCGGAGTCAGGGTTTCCTCTAGGCATCAGAAACCATCAGTCCCAGGCGTTGGCATTCAGGGCCTTGGGATGTTTCTGGACCAAACTCACATTCATAAGCGGTAATGTGTCTTCCTAATGTTACCCTTGCTCATTTCCTTGTAGTTTCCTGGCTGTGGACCAGAATCGACAGAGCTATAAACCCCCCAAAGTCTCTGGGTAGAAGGAAATAAATACAAGAATGGCTGGGGAGCAATTTTGCTGAAGCTACAGGGCTGGGGGCAGGGGGTTCAGTGCCGAGGGCTTCCTTGGTTATGTGCAAAGCCCGCCCCGCCCCCGACTTTGACCCCCAACACCACCAAACCCAACAAACAAAGAAAACACCTCAGCCACATCTGGAGAGATCTGGGTAAGCAATCGCTCTCCTGTATGGGGGACTCGAAGCACCCCTGTGCCTAAGGAAGGTGGAACTCCCCCATCCCTCCACAGTTCCCTCAGCCTGGTGCCCTGCATTGTATAGAACAAGCCTGAGCACACCATGCCACCTTGCTGGGCCTCGCCAAAATCCAAGAATGGCGCAGAGTGCACATTAACCAGATGGAATGCAACATGCATGTAAAGAAATAAGAGCCGTGCCAGGAAAGTTGGCAGAGTCTCTGGAATGCTTTAAACAGTGTGTGTGTGGGTAGAAAGAGTGAGCCCCGAGTCGGCCAGGCGGCCTCCTTCCTAAGAGCTGTTTCCTTTACAGCCATAGCCTGTTTTACCAGTCAAAATAAATACGGTGTTAAATGCCCCCCTTTTACAGGCTCCTGGTACAGAACAGTTTGGCCAGGCAGTTTGAAATATGACCTGGGCTCATTGGGGGAAAAAAAAGTCCTTTTAACTGAGTGGAAGGGATGTGCCCCTTCTCTGGGGGGTTGAGGGGAGAGGAGGGAAGGTCATGGAGTCAATGTTCTGAGTGAAGACACACAGGAAGGAGAAAGAACAGCCATCAAGTCCTTACTGCTAGTTTGAAAGTCAGTGTTTCTAGCTGGTTTCATACAGGCCCAGTGCAATGCTTTCAAACCTGGCTGGGCTGACTTTGAAGCTTTCCTGTCCCCCATGGCTTCTTGAGGAACAACGCAACAGGTTCTCAGAGGAGCTGGTTGTTTCTGAAGGCACCTAAGGAGAAGCCAGGCTTTTTCTTTATCTGTTATTATTTGTGTGCAGTGTAAATGTGTGTACATGTTTTTTTGTGTGTGTGTGTGTGTGCATATGTGTTTTGTATTTATGTGTTTGTGTGTGTGTGTGTAGGCTATGGGATAACACAGGATTTCACTATATAGACCAGGGTGGCTTTAATCCACCTGCCTGTCTCTGGCTCCTGAGTGCCCAGATCAAAGGCATATGCTACGACACTCAGCTCCGCCTTAGTTTTTGAGGCAGCCTCTCTCGCTGAGCCTGGAGCTCACTGATCACACTAGACTTGGATGACCACAAAGCCCCAGGGGTCATTCTGTCTCTGCCTTCTCAGTGCTGGGATTACAGCATGCATTGCCATGCCCAGCTTTATTTCATGGGAGCTGGGGATCGAACTCTGGTCCTCTTGCTTGTGTGGCAAGAACTCTATCCACTGAGCCACCTAACCACCCTCTGGGTCTTTATTGAGAAAAGCTCAGAGCTAAAGACACAGCCAAGTTCAACCCACTCAGGCCATTTAGCTTTTCAGATTCCCATAAACACCCCTAACCACAGCAGTAGCTTGCCACCGGCAGGCAGAAGGGACTGGACAGAATCTTGAGCAATTCTGCATTCCAGGGATGGCAGATGGTCTCTGAAGCATCTCAAGATCTCCCTGGGGAGGTCTGGGAGGTCTGGAGGTCCTGGGCTGTCTCTGTTCTTACACATGAAGAAACAGAGGCTCTGAGAGGTTGAGTCATTTACCCAGGTTCTCCCAGCTTTGGGAATGGAAGGCCTTGGTTGTCTAACCCAAACAGCAAATGTTGAAGAAGCACCTCCAACCTCAGAACTCCCCTGGCTCAGCAGCAGGTTGTTACATTCCCCATAGGGTAGGTCATGGGGTGAATTATCTTTCTGGGTGGCAGTAAACAAACCATCACTGGCAGGGCACCTTATAACAACAGAAGGTACCCCCCACTCCACTACCATTATGGAGGAGAAGGCTGAAATCAAGATGTCAGCAGGCACATACTCTCTAGTACCTGCAAGGAAATAGAGATAAGGCAAGGAAGAACATCACTGGTTCATTCACTGATTCATTCATCTCCCCAGGGCTCCAGGGACGCTTCTGTCTGACACCAATGACTTCTGTCCTCCTTGACTGTGGCTGCAGGCTTCCAACCTTCACCTCTGTCTTCATGTCTCTTCCTCTAGTGTGCCTTTCGTCCTTCTGGTCTCTGACAAGGACACGTGTCATTGGATTAAGAAGCCGCACTAATCAATGATCTCATTCCAAGATCTTTAACTTAATTATACCTGCAAAAAAAAAAAAAAAAAAAAAACCTTTCCCCAATTAGGCTCTAATGTTTCAGGGCCGGGTGTAGCTCAGCGTGTGCCAGGCCAGGTGATCTGAGTTTGATACCTATAGCCCATGTGGTGGAGGGAAAGAAGTGATTGACCCCCTCCCCCACACACACACACACACACACACACACACACACACACACACACTCAGCTTAACCTCTGACCTCCACATGTGCAACATGGCGTGCACACGCCCACTCACATACACACATGCACACCAAATAAATAAAAATGTAAAGATTGCATGCCCAGATTTGAGGGGGTTTGACCTTGTAAGACAGGGTTTCTCTGTGGCTTTTGGAGGCTGTCCTGGAACTAGCTCTTGTAGACCAGGCTGGTCTCGAACTCACAGAGATCTGCCTGCCTCTGCCTCCCGAGTGCTGGGATTAAAGGCGTGTGCCAACAACACCCAGCTCGACCTTGTATTTTTTTGATAGTTGTTTTTCAGCCTGTGACACCAGATGTCAATGACAGAAGGATTTGTCCAATTGAGGGTCTTTCTGTTCTACAACAATAACTTCCCTCCCTTGACTTGTTTTGTTGTTGCTGCTGTTAGTTATGGGGGAGGGGCAACTGGGAAGCTTCTTTGTCCTTCAAAAACACAGAGAGCAATGCTTGGGTGTGGTGCTGCACACCTGGACTCTAAGCACTTGAGGGGTGGAGGCTGCAGAATCAGAAGTTTGATGGGGAGGAAAGGGTATATCTCTAACTCTCATCCCTATTCCCATCCCTACCCCTGGGGCAGCATTCTACTTCTGGAATGGGTCTCAAAGACAGCAGGTAAATTCGAAGGACGTGAAATTATCTCTGGCCATTGACTCTGAAGTTTGAAGACCTGTCCTGCAATGATACTGTTGATAATTATTGCCCAAATCCATGGAATTTAGAAAAAAAAAAAAACTATCCTAATGGATTTTGCTTTCTAGACGTATAAGAAAGCAGCCTTTATAGGGACCTGGAGGCTGGACCTTGTCATCTGTATCCGGGGCTAAGTGTGGTGATTTTCATGTTGCAGATTCCGAGGGCTCTGGCTGGGGTAGAAGAGCTCATCTTCATTCCCTTCGGTGACCCTTTTCCAACTCTGCAAACCCCATGGGAACCTTCATAGCTTTGCCTTGTTCTTTTCCTTTTTTGTTCCTGATCAGCCCCTGCAGGGGAACTGGTTCTAGCCGGCTTGATGATGATAGTAACCACAGCTGCTATTATTTCATGCCGTCCAGATTCAGGCTCCATGCTGGCAATGTCACCTGAGGTATCTCACTGAACTTTCCCAAGAGGCACCCATGTGGGCTCTACCTGCAGAATGAGCTCAGAATGGGGTCCCCGCCCATCACCTCTATGCTACCTCCCTGGGCCAGGTTCCCATTACCCCCCCCACCCCCCACCCCATTACTGTGGTCCCTCCCTACTGAATAGCACACGCTTTCCCTGTCTTGGTCTATTTTCAACTCAGCAGTCTGAGTGGTGCCTTAGATGTGAAAGTCAGAAGAGGACACAAACCTCCATGGGTTCCCCATATTGCGGAAAGTCAAATCCAAATCCCATTCTTCTTTTCCCACTCACATTGTGGTCCAGGCCCTTCAAGCTCCTTGGTTTCTGAACAAGCAGCATTCCTGCCTCTGGGCCTTTACATACACTTCCTGTTCCTCCTCTCCCTGGATGTACATGTGATTTATGCCTCTCTTCAAGACTATTCAAATTCAGTTCCTGGGTCTGAGCTGACACACTTTAAAATGCAAGCTTTCCTTTGCATCTCTGTTATATCTTTTTTTTTTTTTTGTGGTTTTTCGAGACAGGGTTTCTCTGTGGCTTTGGAGGCTGTCCTGGAACTAACTCTTGTAGACCAGGCTGGTCTCCAACTCACAGAGATCTGCCTGCCTCTGCCTCCCGAGTGCTGGGATTAAAGGCATGCACCACCAACGCAAGGCTCTTAAAGACCTGTGTCATCTAGGAGTGGAGGCTCAAGCCTGTAATGCCAACACTGGGGAGTCTCAGGCCAGTTGTACAGTCTCAAAACAATTAAGTTCCAGATCATCCAAAGCTGCAAATTGAGACCCTGTTCAAACAAAACAAAACAGAACAGACAAGAACAAATCAGCATTGAACTATTCCTTTAGTTATTTGTTAGGTTTATTCTTCATCTCACCTC